GCCTCAACGTGGTTCGTGGCTGTCTCAGCAACAGGGGACTGGAGCCTGACTGGGGCAGCTACCTGGGTGAGGGGATTCAAGAAAGCCCAGGATAGAGGAGGGTCCCGAGTATGGCTGGGGGTTGTGTGTAAGGGCCAGGTGGGGTGAGCTGGGCTAAGGGCTCTAAGGTCATATCCAGGGGGAACATGGGAGGGGGCTCTTCTGGTATGAGTTCCCCTAAACACTTTGCTGCTTCTCTCTAAGGCCTGAGTGAGGATGTGTGGGAACATCCCAGTTCAGGATCACCCTTATTCCACCCTTTCTATTCCCCCCTTCCTTCTAGATGCTCTCCTGCTCCTGGCTGAGAAGCTCCAGGGTCCCTTTTCCTTTGAGCTGGCAGCTGAGTCTATTGGGGTGAAGATCTCAGAGGGTTTGATGTATCTGCAGGAAAACAGCGTGAAGGTGTCAGCCCAGGTACAGGGGAGAGAAGGGAGGAGGTGAAGCCTGGGATACGGGGACAGAGTGGAGGTGTCAGCCCAGGTTCAGGGGAGAGAAGAGCAGAGGTGAGGTCTGGGGTGGGGAGATAGTGTAGGTGGCAGGGAGATATGGTAGGGTATCTGGGGAGGCCATGGGGTCGGACTGGGGACACAGGATGGGTTTCACTGCTGGGTGACCATGTGTGAGGTCTTGTCCCTGTGCTGCAAGGTGTTTCAGGAATGTGGCCCTCCCCACCCGGTGCCAGCCCGTAACCGCCGAGCCCCTGCGCCCCGGGAAGAGGCGGGCCGGCTGTGGACGTTGGTGGCTGAGGAGGAGCGGCCCACGACGGCTGCGGGCACCAACATGCACCGACTGGTGAGTGGCAAGCGCTGGCTGGGTAGGGGCAGGAGCGCAGCTGCAGTGGGGTCCAGGGGCGCTCCAGCTGGCCCTGCTCTCTCGCTCGCCCAGGTATGGGAGCTCCGCGAGCGGCTGGCCAGGATGCGGGGCTTCTGGGCCCGGCTGTCCCTGACGGTGTGCGGAGACTCGCGTATGGCAGCGGACGTCTCGCAGGAGGCGGCGCCCTGCTGGACCGGAGCCGGGCGGGGCCGGTGAGGCGTGGCGGCGGGGCGGCGGTGGGGAGGGCGGGCCGTGCTGGCAGGCTGGTGGAGCTTCGGGGCTGCTCTGCTCGTAGGTACTTGCCGCCCGTGGTCGGGGGCTCCCCGGCCGAGCAGCTCAGCAACCCCGAGGTGCAGGTGGATGTCTCGGGCCCCGACGTGCCGACACGGCGGCGGCGGCTGCAGCTCCGGGCAGCCACGGCCAGGATGAAGGCGGCCGCGCTCGGACACGACCTGGACGGGCTGGATGCGGGTGAGCCCCGCCCGCTGCCTTTCGAGTCCCTTCCTTGGCTCGAGTCCCTTCCCTGGCTCGTAGTTCCCGCCCCTGCCGCTCTACTCCTAGCCTTCGTTCATTCACTCATTCATTTAGCCAGCGTTTATTGAGCTCTGACTTCAAAGGTAGAAGGTAAAAGACCAATGAGTGGTTCTCTATACTTGAGTTTACGGTCCAGTAAACTGGACCGTTTCGGGGAGACCCGAAAACATTCTTACAGAACAGTGGGAAGCTTCTTATAATGGGCAAAAAGCAGTGGGAGAATGGGGGAGGGACAATGGGGGATGGCACTAGGCTGGCTCCCCAAGGTGGAGTTTGCCAGAGAAGCAAGGCACAGACTCATTTTTTTCTCTCTCCTTGTGTCTATCTGTTTCTCTGTCACCCTCCCCCACCCCTCTTCTTGGCTGCTCTCTGCTTCTTTGTACTTTTGTTTCTCTGCCTTTTCCTGTTTATCCTCTCTCCCCATCTGCCTGTGTCTGTCTTTTTCTCTCTCCTTGCTTCCTGTCACTCACTGTCTTTCTCCCTCCTCCCAACCCAATGGATCTACCTGTTTCTCTCTCCCCTGCCTTTCTTTCTCTGTTTTTATCTTGATTTCTCTTCCCCATCCCTGTCTGTCTCTGTCCCTTCTTGCAGATGAAGATGCCAGTGGCTCTGGAGGGGGACAGCAGTATGCAGATGACTGGATGGCTGGGGCAGCAGCTGTGGTCCCCCCAGTCCGGCCTCCTCGGCCTCCATATCCTCCTCGAAGGGACGGTTCAGGGGGCAGAGGAGGTGGCAGTGCCCGATACAATCAGGGCCGGAGCAGGAGTAGGGGTGTGTGTGTTGGTTTTCAAACCCAACCCATCCTTGTTCTCTCCCTCTCAGCCCTATCCCTGCTTGGACCTCGATAACAGGGGAGGGGTGCCCTAGCAACAGAAGGGTTCATGGCCCTTTCCCCTCCTCCCCCCTCAGCTGGCTCTGGAGAGGAGTAGGAAGGGGCTACAGAAAGGGTGAAGGGACTTCGTAGGTGAATGGCTGGGGCCCCAAATCCAGGAGATTCCCATTGTGGGGTTGGGGGTGGGTGGGGTTCACAATATTTATTTTTTCATTTGGTAACTGGGGAGGGGGGCCTTGAAGGTATTTATTTAGGAAGGAGTGTGGTCTCCTTAGAGAGTGTGGCCTCTAGCCCTCTAAGGCTGGGGCTGGTGATCAACCCACAAGGGAGAAGGAGGAGTTTTAGAGTTGCAGGTGGGGGGTGGGGCTTGAAGGAAGTTGGAAGTGGGGAGGGGTGGAACTCTAATGGGGTGGGGGCACCTGGTCTCAAATGGACAAAGCTGGGTGCTGACAGGGTGCAGGGAAGGGGACTGGAAGTGTGTGAGTAGGATGTGAGGTTCGGTGGACCTGGGTTTTGTTGAGTTTTTTGAGTATCCATTTCTTAAATGAAAATAAAAAATACCTCATCTCATGATCTATGTCATCCACATCCTTCACAAACTCCAAGTTTCATGTTTCAGTGTTTAAATCAGTGTTTATTCTACAAATAAATGGTAATTTATTGGACCTTGTGTGTCACTTTCTGTGCCTTCAGCATCAGTCCTGGAGTCCCAGCTCCTGGCAGAGACCCTGGGGCCTATCTGACTGACTCAGCTTCTGTCTCTCTTGGAACCTGTCCCCTGGGCACAGGCTGGGGAGAGACCCCTCCCCCCCAGTCTCCAAGTTGCCCACCCTCAGGGGAGAATTGTGGGGACCAGTTAGGGACTCTGTGAGGAAGTGCCTTGTCACCTGCCAAATGCTCTTTGAACACAAGGCATTAGTAACATTACCACACCATTGCCCCTTCCTTCAGGGTAGGGGACCTTGTTCTCTGCGTGTCAGCCTCTGGCTACCTTGTCATGTCCTTGACAATGCCTGCTTTCAACTCTTGTCTATCACTTTCTCTTTCCTCTTTTCTGACGCCTGAATGAATCTTTTGTTCTGTAAGCCGAGAGAAAAAGGTAGAATTGATTCCTGAGTTTGAAAGGAGGGTGGAAGTGGTGTCTTCCAAGAGCAGGCTGGGTGCCCAGAGGGAGCGGGCAAGATGCAGGGAGGGGGAGACCCGAAGACGCGATAGAAGCTGGAGCAGCTGGTCGGTCGGGCTGGCGGGACAAAAGGAGAGGGGAGGAGCCTGGGCGCGGAGAAAGTTTGTGGAGAAAGTTGAGCTGAGCGAGGAGCCGGGCGGTGGCTGGAGCAGGCGGGAGGGCCCTGCCGATTTCCCTGCTGCTCCCCTTGTGGCCTGGTGAGTGGGCAAGGGAAGCTGAGGCTGGGGCCAGGGGAGCGACCCCGGAATTTATGGGAGGAGACTCGAGGGTCTTATAGAATCCGGAGGTGGGGACAACAAGACAGGCAGCAGACTGGAGTCACCAAAGCTGGAGGGGACAGAGGGCTGGGATGCAAGTAATGGGAAGAGGAAGATAGGTGAAAGAAAACGAAGAACTGCATGGGGGAGTCGCAGTGGATCCTGGGGCTGTGCTGGGGGAGGGAATTGGGGAGTGCTGCCAGAGGGGGCGGGTCTGGGTAGTAAGTGTGGGTTCTCTGCCTGGGGTCACCTCTGTCAGGGAAGGGGGCTGCCTGGGCTTGTTGGAGGGGCGGTGGTCCGTGATTGGGAGTTCTAATCTGAAGGGGCGGGTCTGGGTAGTAAGTGTGGGTTCTCTGCCTGGGGTCACCTCTGTCGGGGAAGGGGGCTGCCTGGGCTTGTTGGAGGGGCGGTGGTCCGTGATTGGGAGTTCTAATCTGAAGGGGCGGGGCCAGACTCCCAGAGGATTAGGAAGCTCCGTGTTTGTGTTTTTCTCCGTATCTTTGTGTCATAGAGTTTCTCTCTCTCTCTCTCTGTCCAGCCCCACCCTCTCAGTCTCCTCTGGGTGCACTGATGGGCATTGATTGGGTAGGAAAGTGGGATGGCGGTGTGTCCAGGATGGGGGTTTCTCTCACTCACTGGGGTCTGCCGCGTGCTGAGAAGGGAAAGAGATGCCTGAGTTTATGCAATTGCATCTACTCACGTCAAAGCCACTCCTGTAAGTCTAACCTCCATTTCTCCTGCCAAGGTTCACCAACCTGTGTCCTGTCTGATTCTCATTCCCTCCTTACTGAAGCTCCTCATGCCCATTTGTGACAGTCAGAGGGGCTCAGAAGCCCAGGGGGCTGGCCTCCATCTGACCTGTCATAACAAGCTGATGGGGCAGGTCTCTCTGGCTGACTGTTTCATGATCTGGCTCTCTGTCTTTCTCTCTTTCGCTTCCAACTCCCTGAGGCTAAGGGAGAACCATAGGGGGGCGGGTGGAGTTGGAGACAGGAAAGAGGCTGGCAGCTGAGTAATTGTGGGGCCACCTAGAAGAGTCTGGGTGTCAACAGCACCTTGACCGCCTCCCTTCCCTGAGTTAGGTCTCAGCTGCAGCAGGAGAGGAGGCTCTACCTCTCTCCTTAGACTCCCCTCCTTCCCCCTCATTTCCCTTCTAGACGCTGACAGAGGCAAAAATCTGCTAACTCAGGGGGCAGGCTCAACCAAGGCTGCAAGCAGGCCTGGGGAATGACCCCTCGATCTCCAACCGGCGCCTTCCACGGCTGCAGGGCTGTCTCAAGCTGCCTCTGCTTCTGTTCCCTGCCCTGGCTCTGTCCCTCTCTAGCCTCACCCTTCCACGTGCCACATGGGCCCTCTGTCTCCTACCAGGACAATGCGGCTCTGGGGGCCTCGGAGCCTGGGGGTGGCTCTGGGAGTCTTCATGACCATCGGATTTGCCCTCCAGCTCTGGGGGGGGCCCTTCCAGAGGAGGTGAGTTCCCATCTTGTCCCATCTCCCTACAGATGCCCCTCACTTGCACCTTCCCATCCCACCTGGGGCTGTGACTCTCAGGACTCCATGCCCCCCTGGTCTTCTCTCCCCAAGAAGCCAGTCCACTTGCTGCTTGGGGGACAAGACACTCCCTCTCCGTTTCTTACCAGGCTCCGACAGCCCTGGGCCCCATCCCCTCCACCAGCAGCTCAGTCCTGCCCACCCCGGCAGCGGCTTGTGTTCCTGAAGACGCATAAATCCGGGAGCAGCTCTGTGCTGAGCCTGCTGCATCGCTACGGGGACCGGCATGGGCTGCGCTTCGCCCTGCCTGCCCGCTACCAGTTCGGCTACCCGAGGCTTTTCCAGGCCTCTCGGGTCAAAGGCCACCGCCCCCAGGGTGGAGGCACCCAGTTCCCCTTCCACATCCTCTGTCACCACATGAGGTTCAACCTGAAAGAGGTGAGGGGCGTTGTGGGGGGTGGGTGGGGCTGGAAAAATATGGGCCCAGGCCTGGGGGCTCCCAGACATCACCTCACCCAAAAGTTGCACATGGGGGCCACAGGGTGGGATTTCTTGTTGCCCTCTCCTCAGGTGTCCCTTTCCGAGTAGTTTCTGGGAGCCAGAGTCCTTATTTTTCCCACCTGGTGCTACCCCAGTCTCTTTCCTTGACCAATTTATTTCTTTGATGCCAACTCTGAGCCCCCAACTCTCCTTCCTGGTGCCCCTTGCCCTCCTCTTCCACTGCCACTACCAGGGCCCCTGCTGCTCCACTGCCTCCTGATTTTTCTTCCTCTCATTACCCCCACTATGTCTGCCAAATATTTCTTTTTGTTAATTTTTTGTAGAGACGGGGTCTCGCTATGTTGCCCAGGCTGGTCTCGAATTCCTGTGCTCAAGCAATTCTCCCACCTTGACCTCCCAAAGTACTGAGATTACAGGCGTGAGCCACTGAACCTGGCTGGCTGCCACATTTTGAGGATCAGCTATACATCAAGCCCTAGGCTGAGCACAGCAGAATAATTGGGTGGAAAATGAGTCCTGACCCCCAGGAGCCTCAGTTCTAATGGGGAGACCAGCTCATGCTCGTACAGACATACACAGGAACCCAAGAGCTCTTGGCAGAAGAAAAATCAATGTGCAAATGAAAACGTACAGGGAAGGAACTAAACTTTACTGAGTACTTACCGAGGGCTGGGTACTAATTTTACCATCACCTTTCCAGGAAGGCATTATAAGTGTCTCCAATATACATATGAGGAGTTCGAGTCTCAGGGAGGCTGACTGGCCTCCTTCAACACACAGAAAGTGGCAGAGCTAGGATCTGAACTCAGGTCCACATACTCCAAAGTCAAGGCTTCTTCTGAGGCATGTGTATGCATGTTTGTATCCAGAATGGTGTCCATCAAAAGAGATGGAGCTTTCTGGAGAGACAGGTTGTAAAGGAAAAAGTAGACATGGTTTTGTGGTAAGAACATCACGTATTCTTGGAGCAAAATATCAGCACAGGCATGGTTGTGTGTGTGTAAGAGGGGGAGTGTGTGCATCCATGGAAGAACTTCAGCAAAGGCTGCAAAGACACCCTTGTTGAAGCTGGAGGAGTGTGGGCATGATCTAATGGGCTCCAAGGGGCCACTGTTGGGAGTGAGGCAATGGCAGTAGGTTTCCCCAGAGGCTAGAATGATGATCTTCATTGTTACCACCATTCATTGAATACCTACCATGTTCCAGGCACTTCTATATTCTTCCAGGTAAGTGCTAACCCAGATTTATAGATGGAGAACAAAGGCTCTGAAAAGTTCAATAACATGTCCAAAGTCACACAATTAGTAAATGGCAGAATTGGGATTTTATTCCCGGTCAATTGGAGGCCAAAGTCTATTGTCATCACTGTTTCCCTCTGCCTTCAGTCTTTGCCTTTTAGGTGTGCCATAGTTCTGAAGGAGACTGGAGAACAACATGACAAGGAAAGGTCACGTTCAATGATCAAAGTCATTTTGAGGCAGAAACCCTCCAGAAAGTCTAGGAGCTAGGTTCTTTTTTTTTTTTTTTTTTTGAGACAGAGTCTCACTTTGTTGCTCAGGCTAGAGTGAGTGCCATGGATCAGCCTAGCTCACAGCAACCTCAATCTCCTGGGCTCAAGTGATCCTACTGCCTCAACCTCCCAAGTAGCTGGGAGACTACAGGCATGCGCCACCATGCTCGGCTAATAGTTTGTATATATATTTTTAGTTGGTCAATTAATTTCTTTCTATTTTTAGTAGAGACAGGGTCTCACTCAGGCTGGTTTCAAACTCCTGATCTTGAGTGATCCTCCCGCCTCAGCCTCCTAGAGTGCAAAGATTACAGGCGTGAGCCACCGCGCCAGGCCCAGGAGCTAGGTTCTGATGTGGATCTGCCTGCCAGGAATTGTTAGGGTGTTAGCATTATTCCTTCCTTCCTTCTTGGGAATAAGTGGAGTCATATGTCCCAGCCCCCAGGTCAGCACCCTAGCAAGTGGCCATGGCTCCCCAGAGCCCCAGTCCAGGATCTTTTGCTCTCCAAGATGCCCAGGAGCCTCTGAAGTGCCTTGCCTTTTGGCCTCCTGGGCCTGGCCTGCACACCTGCTGTCTACACTTAAGACAGTCTTATTTTTGCCCCTTTTCTTCACTGTTTGCTGCCACTGACACCTACCTCCTCCTGCCTCAAGGTGGCCCAGGGCCAGTTCCTTTCTTGATCTGTAACCAGGGGCCCCAGAGTGGGTACTCAGTAGGTTTTCTTTGGAGAAGTGAGTACAAAGCCTGGTTCTTAGAGATTTTATTGACCAAGACAGACAGAAAGGCCCAAGGAAATGAATGTCCTCCAGGAGCTTCCCATACTCCAGGTTTCCTTATATGCTTTATCTCATGGATCCCTCATAATCACCTGGGAAGGTATGATTATCCCCATTTTACAGATAAGCAAATTGAGTCTCAAAGATGTTAAGTAACTTGCTGCACAGCAAGTGACAGAACCGGGGGGTTCCTAGCAGAGCTATGAGAAGGAGGTTTGAGGACTCCAGGGATCACCAGGCACTTGGCTTGTGCTTACTTTCTCCTGGGCCCAGTTCTTTCTCCCTATGTCTGTCTTCTCTCCTCTGCAGGTACTTCAGGTCATGCCTTCTGACAGCTTCTTCTTTTCCATTGTCCGAGACCCTGCTGCTCTGGCCCGTTCTGCCTTCTCCTACTATAAATCCACCTCATCAGCCTTTCGCAAGTCACCATCCTTGGCTGCCTTCCTGGCCAATCCTCGAGCCTTCTACCGGCCTGGGGCCCGTGGGGACCACTACGCCCGCAACTTATTATGGTTTGACTTTGGCCTCCCCTTTCCTCCAGAGATGAGGGCCAAGAAAGGGAATCCTCTTCCCCCCAGAAACCCCAACCCCCCACAGATGCATATCTTGCGTGCTGGAGCTGGCCCTCGAGCCCAAGCTCTAGATCCCAATGCTCTATTCCATCCTGTTTCTACTGTTGTTCATAGTCACATCCAGATAACCAGCCCTGCCTCTGTAAATCTGGGGTCTTTGTCCTTCATCCAGTGGGGCCTGGCCTGGCTGGACTCTGTCTTTGACCTGGTCTTGGTGGCTGAGTACTTTGATGAGTCATTAGTTCTGCTGGCAGATGCCTTGTGCTGGGATCTGGATGACGTGGTGGGCTTCATTCACAACGCCCAAGCTGGAGGCGAGCAGGGCCTCAGTGCTGTTGACAACGGTGGACTGACAGCTGAGGATCGGCAGCTGAATGCACGGGCTCGGGCCTGGAACAACCTGGACTGGGCTCTCTATGTTCACTTCAACCATAGTCTGTGGGCTCGGATAGAGCAATATGGCCAGAAACGGCTGGAGAGAGCTGTGGCCGAGCTCCGGGCTCGCCGAAAGGCCCTGGCCAAACATTGTCTGGTAGGGGGTGAGGCTGTAGATCCCAAATACATCACTGACCGTCGTTTCCGCCCCTTCCAGTTTGGGTCAGCTAAGGTTTTGGGCTATGTACTTCAAGGTGGACTGAGCCCCCAAGACCAGGAAGAGTGTGAGCGCCTGGCTACCCCTGAGCTACAATACAAGGACAAGCTGGATGCCAAGCAGTTCCCCCCTACAGCCCCACTGCCCCTCAAGGCTTCACAGCTGCTCTCTCCACAGGCATCAGACTCTAGATTTAGGCCAAAGAGCAGCTAAGTTGCAAGGGCACATGTGATGAGTGCGCATCAGCTAGATGTCATTCTGCCTCCCTCAGAAGGGACAGGACTCAGCCCTGATGCAGGCCCCAAGTCTTCTGGCCTTGGACTTGGAATCTCAGTCATTGGGCTCCCAGCAGTGCCTCTCTCCTCCACCCATGTTACCCCTTCCCCTTTCCAGCTCCAAGGCAGGTCCTCGTAGCACTCTCCAAAGCTCCCTGGAGGGGCAAAAGATGTAGTGAGCCCCAGAGAGTTTAGGGCATGGCGAGTTGGAATGATACGTCCATTTCCCTATGAAATATTTGTTATTGGGCTATGTTCATTTCACTACAAAATGTTTGTTGAATGAATAAATAATTTGGAACTTCTACTAGGCTTATGTAGGCCAGAAAAGGGAGAGATGGAGAATATTCCTGGGACAGATGGGCTTGGAAGGGGTCCTTTCAATATTTCTTCCCAAAATCCATCCATGGTCTCAGCTCCATTCCTTCAGCAGCCAACTCGCGCCAGACCCCGCCCCCTCCTCCAGGGTCCCGGTGCCCACAGATTCCGGGGCCTTGGAGGCCACGCCCCTCCCCTTCCGCTTCCGGTTTCTGGCCAGTCATTCTGTCCCGTACCCCGGTTCCGGCCCTTGCCGGGTCTCGGTTCCGGGTTCGTTGTCCCGGTTCCTGGACCGGGCTGGTCTCTTAGGCCGCCCCGGCCGCGCGCAGCATCCCCCAGGCGTCGGGACTCGCCGGACCCACCCTAGTGGGTCCCCTCGTCCTCCGCGGGCCCCGCCGGGGCTGGTGTCCGGTCCCGGTCGCACTGTCCTCGCCGCCCCATGGAGTCCCAGTGCGATTACTCGATGTACTTCCCGGCCGTGCCGCTGCCGCCGCGCGCGGAGCTGGCGGGGGACCCGGGCCGGTACCGGGCGCTGCCCCGGCGCAACCATCTGTACTTGGGGGAGACTGTCCGCTTTCTGCTGGTGCTGCGCTGCCGGGGCGGCGCAGGGTCCGGCGCTGGGGGCAGCCCGGGTTTGGGCTCCCGAGGGGCCTGGGCAGAACTGGCAACTGCCCTGGCCGCCCTGGCCTCGGTCAGCGCTGGAGGTGGGATGACAGGGGGCGGGAGCACCGGCGACCAGGATTCCGAACCACCAGGGGGAGGGGATCCTGGAGGTGGGGGTTTGTTTCGAGGCTGCAGCCCTCTTCTCACCCACGGCCCGGGCCCTGCTACCTCAGGGGGAGCGACCACGGTGAGGAGCTTGTGACACGGCACAGAGCGGAGGGGCGGTTTTCTGGGTGCCAGAGACAGGATGGAGGTGGACCCTGGGGGCCTAAGGCAGGGGGCAGATGACTGTTGTGGAGAGGGGAGGGCACGAGGGACCACGTACTGCAGATCTTAAAGGGATCAGCTGCGGGGTGCCTCTGACTCTCTGCTGACCTCTTCACCCCTTTCATAACCCCAGCTGCCTGTGGAGGAACCAATTGTGTCCACAGATGAGGTCATCTTCCCACTCACTGTTTCACTGGACAGACTGCCCCCAGGGACACCTAAGGCCAAGGTAAGATGATCCACGAGAGGTAGAGCTGTTCTAATTCGGATGCCCTTTCAAGGCTCAGCCACCTGTCTCTCCTCTTGACTCTCTCGTCCTGTGTCCCTCAAACCCAGATTGTAGTGACTGTGTGGAAGCGGGAGGTTGAGGCACCAGAGGTCAGAGATCAAGGCTACCTGAGATTGCTGCAGACTCGATCTCCTGGGGAGACCTTCCGGGGCGAGCAGAGTGCTTTCAAGGCCCAAGGTGGGGAGGATAATGAATGCAGAGGAAAAAGGCTAGAAACTGGGATTTGGGGGACAGAGTGGAGGGATCATACTAGAAAATACCTTATTGGGGAGAAGAGGAAAATTAGAGCTGTGGGTTGGAGGTGAGGACTGCGCCCAGATCATTTCTTGCCTCTCCCGTCCTGCAGTGAGCACCCTGCTGACTCTGCTGCCCCCTCCGGTTCTGAAATGCCGGCAGTTCACTGTGGCTGGAAAACACTTGACCGTGCTCAAGGGTGAGGAGATTTGCCTGCTCAAGTCTTGGGTAGCAGCAAGGGAACTGATTGGGTAGTAGTTACTCTGGGCAGGCTGGAGAGGACAGGTCCATTTTTGGAGGGTAAAGGTGGGGCCTGAGAGGTCCAGCTATTTGGAACTGAGCTGATTATCTCCAACAGTGCTGAATAGCTCCTCCCAGGAGGAAATCTCCATCTGGGATATCCGAATCCTCCCCAACTTCAATGCCAGTTATCTACCTGTCATGCCCGATGGCTCTGTGCTGCTGGTGGACAATGTCTGGTGAGGTCCTGGGGAGGGGCAGGGCTGTGAGGTGGTAGGGACAGCGGGGGAGGGGGGGGCCAAGGGCTGAGCTCTAGCATGGGGAGATCATGACCTGTCCTCTTTTCTGAGCTAGTCACCAGTCTGGGGAGGTCTCCATGGGCTCCTTCTGCCGGCTCCCTGGTACCTCTGGCTGCTTCCCCTGCCCACTTAGTGCCCTGGAGGAACACAACTTCCTGTTTCAACTGAGAGGGGGTGAACAGCCCCCTCCAGGGGCCAAGGAGGTGAGCATAAGAAACTGGTGTGTTCAAGGAAAAGGGATAAGGAAAAGCTGTGGGGAGGAAAGACTGGAGGGTGACTAAAGATGGGAGAGGATCACTACTACATGTGACGTCTTCCTTTGTCCCTCCGGCAGGGCTTGGAAGTTCCCCTGATTGCTGTGGTTCAGTGGTCCACCCCAAAGCTGCCCTTCACCCAGAGCATCTACACCCACTACCGGTGAGTGTATGGGACCCCCTGCAAGTACTGCCTGTTCACCTCTGTTGCCTGACATACACATCTGGCTTCCTTCTCTCACTGCTCCCAGACTGCCCAGCATCCGCCTGGACCGTCCGTGCTTTGTGATGACTGCTGCTTGTGAGTCCCCTGTTCGGACCTACGAGCGTTTCACTGTCACCTACACACTGCTGAACAATCTCCAAGACTTCCTTGCTGTGAGGCTCGTGTGGACCCCGGAGCACGCACAAGCTGGTAGGTCAGCTGCCAGGCTGGGACTTAGTTCCAAGGGAGGGAGGACAGTGGAAACAGCTCAAACCTGGTATCACCCCCACCACAGTGGGTGACTATGGCAGGCGGTTCAACTCTGTAGCTGGGTGGTCTTCATAGTCTGGGTGGTCTTCACAGATGGAGAGTTTAGAGAGGCAGTGAGACAGTGATTTAAAGGGTGTATACACTGGAGCTGCAGTTTCTGGTATGCCTTCTACCTCTTTCATTTACTGTGTGACCTTGGGTAAGTTGCTTAACCTCCCTGGGCCTCAGAGGCCTCACTTCTAAAATAGAGCAATTAATAGCTCATCGGCTTGTCATGCAGATTGATGAGTTGATACATGTGAAGCGGTTAGAACAGGCCTCAGCACACAGTAAGCATTAGCTGTCGTCATCTGTGCCACACGGCAAAAGATAACATTTGCTCAGTTTGCTCCACAGAATGGCTCTGAGGACCAAATGAAGCTGTGCTCATGAAGGCCCTTTGGGAACTGAGGAACGCTGTAGTGTTTCCTGGTCCCTGTTTGTGCCCCCAGGCAAGCAGCTGTGTGAGGAGGAACGCCGGGCCATGCAGGCAGCCCTGGACTCCATCGTCTGCCACACGCCCCTCAACAACCTGGGCTTTTCCCGGAAGGGCAGTGCGCTCACCTTCAGTGTGGCCTTCCAGGCTCTGAGGACGGGGCTCTTTGAGGTGGGCTGCAGAGGGTCTGGGCTGAGCGCTGGGTGATGCAGAATGTTGGGGGAGAAGGCAGGACCCTTAGCTTCTGTGGATGAGATATAATGGGGCGGGGGAGGGGCACAGAAAAGCTGGGTGGTGGGAAGCGGGGATTTAGGGGCAACATTGGTCAGTCAGATGGGGAAGGGGGTCTGAAAGGTCTGGGGCCTGGAAGGCAAGTGGGAATGCTGAGCTGTGCCTCCCACCCCAGCTGAGCCAGCACATGAAACTGAAGTTGCAGTTCACAGCCAGCGTTTCCCACCCTCCACCCGAGGCCCGGCCTCTCTCTCGCAAGAGCAGCCCCAGCAGCCCTGCCGTCCGGGACTTGGTGGAGAGGCACCAGGCTAGCCTGGGCCGCTCTCAGTCCTTCTCCCACCAGCAGCCTTCCCGAAGCCACCTCATGAGGTACAGAACTGGGGAGTGGGGGTGGGGGGTGGCACTGGACTGGGTAGAGGCTGGACCAGGGAGGGTGCTGGCTCTGACGGAGCCCACGTCCTCCGCCTTCTCCCAGGTCAGGCAGTGTGATGGAGCGCAGGGCCATCACACCCCCTGTGGCCTCCCCTGTTGGCCGCCCCCTCTACCTGCCCCCGGACAAGGCTGTGCTATCTCTGGACAAGATTGCCAAGCGAGAGTGCAAGGTCCTGGTGGTGGAGCCTGTCAAATAGTGCCGTGCCAGCTCTGCTCCCTCTTACACTCCAGAAACCGAAAACCCCTGGAGGGGGTCTTTGCTCCCAGGCTGTGCCTCCCCTGGGATGCCTCCCCCAGGGGTGAAGAGGCCCACCAGAGCTGCCTGTCTGTGTCTGCTGACGAGGGACAAGGGAAGAAGCTGTGAAATGGGCGGGTATGGCTGTAGCACTAAGCCAACAGTATTTCCTCGATTTCCATGGGGGGGGGCTGGCACCACCCCTAGGCCAGGGTAAAGGCTCCAAGAGCTCCCTTGCCCACCGCACTTCACCCTGGCTCTAAGTTTACAAAGTATTTTCTTCATTCCTCTTTAGTCCTTTCCTGCCTCTGACATTCCCTCCCACCCACCCGCAGGGCTGAGGTTAGGGTGGTGATGGCAAAAGGCCTCGACAATGACCCTCCTGTCTCATGGATCAGGGAGACAGCTAGGGGCCTCCTGCTGCCCCTGATGTTTACGTTTGCAGCCTAAAGCACTTTAAGTTGTATTTTTTTGTCTGTTCCTATAACTTATTCTCCAACTACTGCTTCCAACTGAAATGAGACTATTAAATGCCTGTTCAGGAGGGCGAAGAATGATGGCTGTTTATGTGTTAATGGAAGGAGCAGAGACCACCGGGGCTCAGGGTGTTTCCCTTCCCCACGCTCGCAGATGGCTCCCCTGCTCCCTTCCCCTACATTTTTTTCTGATTCCCAGTTTTATAATGTTCAGAGGTCATCCTACTTCACCCACCCTGTGGTGAGGTACATGACTCTCTTGCCAGAGATGAAGACAGACATGGAGCATAACCCACCCACACACACACACACATCCCTGGGCTGGGGAACATCAGACTAAGGTTTATTAGGGAAGTCCCCTTGCCCTCATTCTCTTTAACACAGTACAAAGTCCCCAAGCCTTTGCCCTTCCATGTAGGGGTGGGTGAGCAGAAGGCCTTAGTTCTTACAGCAAGCCAAGAAAGAGGTGGAGGATGGCCGTGCCTTCCTCATCACAGAGGCCCACGGACCCAATCCACTTCTCAGACTCTCGCCCTCTGGCCGGTTCAGACGTCAATGGGCTCCCGGCCTCGGTTCTGCCTCTTCACCACAAACACCCTCTGTCCTGACACGGTCACCAGCAGCGTATGTTCTCCAAAGACCACTGGAGGAGAGACCCACCGTCCCCGCCCCAGGGTTAGCAAGTGCATCGGCCTCCACGAGGTCACACACAAATTGGCTGGGATCAAAAGCCAAAGAAATTCTATAGTTCAAGGCTCAGAGATTTGAAGATGAGTGGCCTCTGTTTTGTTTTTCCTTTTTTATCAGAGGGGGAGGGGACAAGGTCTTGCTATGCTGCCCAGGCCTGAGGGCAGTGGCAAGATCACAATTCACTGCAACCTCAAACCCCTGGGCTCAAGTATCTTGCCTCAGCCTCCCAAGTAGTTGGGACTGCAGGCATACACTACCATGCCTCGTTTATTTTTCTATTTTTTGTAGAGATGGGGTCTCGCTGTATTGCCCAGGCTGGTCCTGAACTCCTGGCCTCAAGCAATCCTCCTGCCTCACTCTCCCAAAGTGTTGGGTTTACAGGTGTGAGCCACATGCCCAGCCCAGTGGCCTCTGTTAAATCCCCTCTATTTTCTTGCTTTCTCTGACTCAATTCCTACATGGGGAGAATCCCAAAGAGAGGAGGCCACACCGGGGACCCCACGACGAGATGGTAGAAGACAAGTGTTTTTTCCCCAAGAAGAGAAGCCTCTGGAAGCACCCCCCACCACCACCAACACCAGGGGCTGGGGCTCACCAGACAGGCGCTTGAAGGGAACATTCATGCCCTGGTGCAGTCGGAAACCACAGGCTGTGCTGACCAGCTCAGAGATGGCGCTGGCTGCCTGCTCATCATTCTCGAGATCCCCGGATGACTGCACATAGATGGAGGGGGGAGCGTGGTAGGAATTATGGCACAGAATCGGGAAGGAATTCCAGACACAGTCCCTTTGGTTCTCCCTCTCCACTTTCTAATGACCCCAGGTTATCCAATTTTGGAAAAACCAGCCTAAAACCTCCCAACGATGTTGTCAGTGACATCCTGTTTTTCTTAATATTGGGCTTCCCCTGATGAGCTGCATCTCTTTTTTTCCCCTCTCAAGAGATGGGGTCTCACTGTGTCACCCAGGAGTGCAACAGACTGATCATGGCTCACTGCAGCCTTGAACTCACCGGCTCAAGGGAGCCTCCTGCCTTAGCTGTCCAAGTAGCTAGAACTACAGGTATGCACTAGCGTGCCTGGCTAATTTTGTTTAGAGATGATGTTTCACTATGTTGCCCAGGGTAGTCTTGAACTCCTAGTCTCAAGCACTCCTCCTGCCTCAGCCTCCCAAGTTGCTGGGATTACAGGTGTGAGCCACTGTACCCAGCACAGCCATCTCTTTACTGACTGTTCTTTCCTAACTTCTTGAACCTGGATGTCTTACTTTGTCCCCACCTATAAGATAAAATCATATTTTCCAAAATCAATGCCTGCCCACCACTGACTCGTTAAAGACCCCATCTTTTTCTTAGTCTTCCCACTTGCTGCCCTGTCCACAGAATCTGAAACATAAAACATCCCCTTTGTCCTTGAACTCCTCCTTCTACCTACCCGTTGGGTAAGTGATGAGACAATAGTCTGGGCTCCTTTTTTCTAGTGTCTGTCTCAACTTCCTCTTCCCACCTCCTCGACAGGGGCCTCCCAGTAGGTTAAGTTTAGTTTCCTTTGCTTTGTTGGACATTCTACAGTTTCCTCATCTGTAAACTGAGGACAACAGTACCTACCTCACAGGCTTGTTGTGAGGGTTATGTCAGATAATATTGGAAAGATGCTTAGAACAGCTTTTAGCAATATTAACTGCTATTATTCTACATCAAACTTAGTGTCTAAAGTCAGGCCATCAGAATTCTCCTTATCCACCTCCCTCCCAATCTATTTCCTTTCTTGATTTCCTGTTAAGATACCATCATTCTTCTTCTACTGCCCTCAGGATTAAGTCCAAATGTGTTAACTTCAAAGCCCTCCACATTGGATATTTTGCTTATCAAATCGTCGTCTTCCCTCAAATCTTTCCAAATCTCTTCACCATAACCCCACCACCAATCAGGCAAGTTGATGTCACATACCTCCCAGACCTGAATACTCTCCTTTAAGCTCAGCTACATTCCTACCACCAAGAAAGTTTCCTTGCCATAACATGAAGGGTTGACTCTTTTATACTCTGGACTCCTTCAGTAGTCTTTACCGTTTGCACTCTTTTCAACCTTTAACCTAAGCCTTGTCTCTAGCTAGATCGAAAAGCTAGAGAGTTAACACCATATGGTACTATGGAACAAAATACAAAAAGCCTCTTTAAGACGTACCAAATAAAGACATACTTGAGAGAACTTAGGTAATATCAGTTCCAACAAACCTAAATCTAGCTGCGTGACTTTGGTAAAGTGAGTAAACTTCTTTTAACAGGAGACTAAGATTCCAGGCATTGCTTAATTACTGAAAGCTTACTGTATGGCAGGTAGGATATCACCTAGAGGCCCAGAATAGAAGGGACAATATAAGAAGGGGTTACCGGGCCATGTGGACTAAAGTGGACCCCAGGCCCTTTCCCAGAACGCACCGCCAGCACTGCACCTTCACTCAGCACCAGGTAGCCGAGCTGGTCTGGGATTCGCTCCAGCCCCTGGGTCAGTGCAGAAGTCTAGTGGGTAAAGATGCAAGCAGTGAGAAGCATGCTGGAAAGATGGCCCTTGATGAACCGCCTCTCTCTTGATGTTGGCCCCCAGGCTTTCTCTCTCCCAAGCGAGGGCCCTTCCAGACCCCCTTCCCTCTACGAGGGACTTCCTAAGCCTCCATCCGCCCTCACTGTCGGGCCCCGGGCTCCCCTGGCCTTCCACACCCCGCCTTTGCTACCCTGGGAGCCCTTCGCAGCTCCACTGGCCCCTGCCCGCAGCCCCTCTCTCCAATTCCCCTCGTGCCTCGCACACTATGCCTCAGTCCTTAACACCCTCCCACAGCTCCCTCCTCAGCCCTCTACGTCGCCACCCCTCCCATTCCCATTCCCTCTCAGTCCCGGGGCGGACTGGAGGCGAGGGTGGAGTGCAGGCCCAGGAAGGGGCACCCAGAGACACTGGGGAACAGGGACGCGGAACCCCCGGCGCGTACTCCCGCGCATGCGTCCTCACTCACCATCGCAGGCTTAGGTGCTTGGGGAGCTAGCTACGAGATAGGTAGCTTCCGGCTCCAGGCCCTGGTCACGTGCTTCCACCAGGGGGGTCTCCTCCCTTTGCTTGCGCCACTGGCGTTTAGCCCCGCCCCTAGCATGAGGATTGGAGTGTGGCTACTCCTGAGACTTAATCAGCCAGTGCGAGGCGCTACTTCCCGGAGACGCTCGCTGATTGGTCTAATGCCCTCCTAACCGCCGATCTCCCCGCCCCTCAGCTCCGGAACGCGGGGAGGAGCAGGGAATGGCGGCTGCGATTGCTGGGTTGTGCTCTTGCGGTACGCGCGGTTCGACCTAAATCTGGGCTGCTCTCCCCCTGTGTGACCAGAAGCGAGTCCATTGTGGGTTTCAGGTTTCACCCTAAAACAAGGGAATGAAAGGAAATAACGTGCAAGGCGTGTGAAAAGCTATTTAAATGCCACTCTTATTGTTGAAGACACGGATTTGTTCCCAAAGTGGGTTTTCCTACGGATTCAGTGGGGAACGATGTATGTAATGGTGAATTGAGTCACTGGCTAGCCAGCGCGGCTGCAGTACTCAATATTCTGTGCCAGGAAAAATTGGAAACGGCACCTTGGACTCACTGTTATATATGTGAGCATTACAAAAATATATGTAAACATAGGAAAATTTTATTTCAGTTTGAATTAGTATCACAAGTGTAGAATTTAATAGTTTCTAGATTTGTAATATTACTGTGGCTGAGGCAGTGTTGGTGAGGTAAAATGAAGGGGAGGCCAAGGCGGGAGAATCGCTTGAGGCCAGAAGTTCAACCAGTCTGGGCAAAAAATAATGAGAATAACAATTAGCTAGGTGTGGTGGCCAGGAGCCCATAGTCCCAGCTAATCCAGAGGCTGAAATGGGTGGATCCTTTGAGCCCAGTCTTGGAGACAGAGTGAGACCCTACCCCTTCCGCGCCCCAATCATAGCATTTTTTAAAAATAAATGATTCTAGAAATAATAAGTACTTGTTGGTAAAGATGTGGAGAAATTGGACTTTAATTACAATGCTGGTTAGGAATACAAAATGCTGTAATCAGTTGCTCAACAAGCTCAATGCAGAGTTAGCACAAGACCAAGCAACTCAACTTACCTATACACACCCAAGAGAACTGAAAACATGTCCACACAAAAACTTGTATGTGAATGTTCATAGCGTAGCCAGAAAGTGGAACTAACCCAAATATCTATCATCTGATATGAATGAATAAATAAAATTTCATATAACCATACAATGGACTATTATTTAGCTATAAAAACATGCTACAACATGGACGAACCTTGAAAACATTATGCTAAGTGAAAGAAGCCAGACGCACGAGGCCACATATTGTATAGTTCTATTGATAG